CCCCAAAACCCCAAAACCCCAAAACCCCAAAACCCCAATGTGCAATCTAAATGTTGAAGCGTAGATAATAAGACTTAATATCAAAATATATTTTTACAATTTAACTCTATTCATGATGTTTAAATGAGATGTTCGGAAGTTAGAGTGCATTCGTCCACCAGCTCTGTATGTAGAGACATGAATTCAAAGTCACCATTCTCAACCTACTTTCAATGGACTTCAATTTGTTTGTCACAGTGCTAGTGATCTTTGCATCTCTTGGAAAGTTATCTATCAGGAAATTCTGGAAATTTAAGAAATGTGTTAAATGCATGAGGCTTTGCCTCGGATCATTTTTGGCTGAACATTACCCAGTTTTCCAGAAAAACAGATTTCTATGTGAAGATGTACAAGGATGGTATGCATTTTTAGCCAGACAACATCTCCGTTGTAACATTTGGAGAGAGGGAATGTAAAATTTTTGATTGAAAGTTTAAGACTAGAAACTGCTGCCATATAAAGATGGACGACTGTAGGCTTAGAAATTTTTATCAGAATAAGTTTCTCCTTCTAATTGAGATGTCCAATCTCGATTTTAGGAATGGTGGTATTGAACACAACCTTGCGTGTTTCTTTCCTCTTGGGTTCTTCTGATTTCCATTTTAAAATGTGGCCAGTTCTCTTGTTTCTTGTTACTGAGGGTTTTGTGTGAGGATTTGATAATTTTTGGAATATTTGTTCAATGGTGGTTTGTGCAGAGGTGTAATCCTCAGGAAGAGTAGAGAGCAGGGCTTGTCTTTTCTATAGGATTATGTTCGAATAATTGTTATTATTGTGTGAAAGATGTTTAACTTTAGAATATACATTGGGCTTCTAGTATTAGTAATTACAGATAATCAAATACAAAATCACACCTAATAAATCACCTCCTTCTTCTCCCAAAATTCCCTTTTGATTGCTAAATTTCTATCTACTCCTTAGTACCACCAAGAATGAGGGTTTACTTCTTAAGCAAGATTGGAAGATTTTTAGCAGCTATAAACTTACAGTCAGCATCTCCGAGGTGGTCATGCACCCAGGCGTGTAAGGGCTCGGAGAGGTGCTCCTAAGAGAGGCTGTATTAGAACCCGGCTTGGACCCCAGCTTGGGTGCCATTTGGGGGAGGATGCAGGCTTGAGATTGGTACTCATGTTGAATTTTAATGTCCTGTACGATGACTTTGAAGCAAGATTTCAGGCTCTGGAGCTCTAGAGTTCAGAGAGAAAATACCTTCGATAACTTTCTTACGAATCATGTACAAGTCATTGGTCCTGTTGTCGTTTAGTTTTTCGACAGACTATGAGATTAATGATTTGTTAGATACGTAATAAAGATCAGCAAGGTCTCTCTGCTTGTTTCGAGAATCTTCAAAAACCCTTTTTTTTGTCTCTTCTCGAATTTTATCAATCTTATGGTCAGATTGTACACATTGAAGCTTAAGGTCTCTAAACTGGTCCCTTGTGTACTTCACTATCTCCGAATACTTAGTCGTGAAGACTTTATCTAGCTCTGCTATTTTGAGGTCTAATTGATTAATCCTCTCAAGGACTTCAGGATCGAGGTCCTCGAGTGCGACCAGATCTCCAGTATATTCTTCGGTGAAATCTTCAGATACCTCTTCGTTATTTTGAGATTTGATTAAATTATCTGGTATTCAGAACTGGCTTGGCCTCTTGGAGTCTCTTTTATTTGGAAATCCTTCGGCTTCTAGCCATGTAGCTTTTCCTTACATTTTCTAGTAAAATTAGTCAAACTTTAACATGAAATCTGGATTTTGGTTTTAAAGAAAATTTTGATACTAGCTTACGTCCATTTCCTAGCTTGAGTAGAGTGTTTTTGCTGCTAAATGCCCGCAATTTAGGGTCGATCAATCTTGTAAGAGGAACTGGGGTGTTTGAGCTATTCACGCTGTTGAAACTCCCTTTTGGCAAATTAAGCTGAGAATCTTCACCCTATGAGAGACTTAGATTATTGACACTTGGAAAATGGAGCTTTAAGAATTAGTAATGAGGATTAGGAAATAAGAGGCTTCTGCTTGCTTACACTCAACCTCTCACTAAAGTTTTTAGGTGGAATAGCTTCATCAAATGATTTCATTGGATTGCTGTTCAATTTCGGCACTGAAATTATTAATTTCTATGCCTACCGGCAATCGTTATAGTTGCCCTTTGGACAAGTTTTGAAGGAGGTCTGGGACTTCTCATACTAACTTTCTTTAACTCAGGAGGAAGCTCTCCAACAGAAGAGTCTTGAGACTTAGAGGTTTCACTATTCTCAGATTCTCCTCCTTCATGCTCCATTTCTCGAGATAAATTAGGACTCAGGGAGATCTTTTGTGAAGAGAGTGTAAAATTAAGATCTATTGTTGTAAATCTTCAGTATCTCACCTCTGTTATTTTAAGTTGGTGTTTAAATTCTTATTTTTGCTTGAGGGGCTTTGCATCTTTATATTCTCTTCTTGATATCTTTGACGTGCTGTGTTTTACTCTTCAACTGAGAATCCATGCTGATTTGTTTCAAGACTAGAGCTTTATAGATGCACTGTACTGGAATCAAGCAGTTTAGAGCTATTTTCTTGATTCTCACGTCTAGATTGCCGACTGATTGTCGTCTTCTTCTTGGTTTTGAATTTCCTGATCTTCTTTGAGCTTGTCTTCCTAGAGATTAGAAGTAGGCTATCCATACCTCTCCATTTTATTCACAACGAATAGGTCATGAATGGGTGTATCTTTCGGTATCCGTTTGTGCTTGACGTCAGAAGCAAGCTTCTCAATTTTCTGGTCGAATATCTCTGTTGAGATATCCTTAATGATCCTCTCTAGAGCTATTAGGGTTGGGGATACCTTGATTTTTGTTACGAAAATTTAGGTTTTGAATTTCCCGTTTTCAAAAATGGCTAAATTTCTTGAATTCATTGACATCTGCTTTATCTTGGTCGAGCTCTTCGAGGTCTGCTCTGAGGAGCTTTATTTTTGGATCGAAATTTTGTTTCTGGATGTTAAGTGGCACTAGCGAACCTTTACTAGGAGAGAGTAGTTTTCGAACTGTGTTTGGAACATTTCCATCCTGGAATCGTTTTCGGTTACTTTATTTATCCACTTCGAAGAATTGGTTTCTAAAGTTATGAGGAAAGTTACTTGAGAGTGTATATCCTTTGGTCAAGCTCTACTTTATGAGTGAGCTGAGTGTTAGCAAGTTGTTCCTTGATAGCCTCTAGGAATGCCTGGAAGGAATCAATTCTGCTATTTTGACTCCCAGATGATTGGGAGAGATATTTCATTTCTCCTTCAAGGTTCTTGACTTTTCCTTTAATGGTATCGAGGTTTAATTTGTTACTTATAAAACTCTTCGGTAAACTTAGTATCTATTCTTTGAATCTCATTCTATGTATAGTAAACACTGATTACATTCAGTTTTTCTAGCCCAGGAGCGATCGACTTCAATCCATCTAAAGTTTTGAAGATTGACATAATCTTTTCGTTATGATGCTGAGTTTTAATTACTAAGATCGTAAAGCCCTTTGATTGATCATGCGAGGTCTAACTTCTGTTCCTTAGGCACTAGCCCATGGATGTCTTTTAGGTTACTCTCATATTGGGTCAGCTTCTCCTTCAGAGGGAAGACTAATTCATGCATTTCTGTTCTAAGTGTATTCTCTAGGTCAAGCAGGGCTATAGGAAGTAGGGGTTCTTTGTGTTGAGATTGCTTAGAAAGGGTTGTCTTCTTTAGCTTTGCTTTGCCTACCAATGTTACTATTGATGTCCTACCTCTCATTATTTGATTATTGCCCAAATTCTAAATGGTCACATGGTGATTTACCTGGCCGGAGCCAACCCGGCCGTTTTCAGTACTGATGTTCTGTTTTTGGTCTAGAAGATCACTTCCGGCTGTGTAGCGCTCAAGGGACTCTAGGTTTGGTCTATATAAATGAAGTCATGTGGCTGGTCTAGGCTGAGGCAGAATTTGAGTGAAGAAACCTGCTATAGTCTCCTGAGAAATGAAATAGAGACTTTAAAGTAAAGGCAAAAACGTGTGGCCCTGTGGTCTTTGAGGCCATCTCAGGTCTTAGGCGCTAAAAAGACGAAGGAGCAAGCTTGGAGCTTTAGAATGTGCGGATGTGGTCTTTACTCTGAAGGTTCCATTTCTTTATTTATTGTAACTTTAGAAGGGGTTTTGGGGTTTTGGGGTTTTGGGG